TCAGCAATCACAACAGGAGCACAATTATTTAAAATATTTGAAGAAGTATGTTCTAAATTGAGTGTTGATTGGACTAAATTTTTGGTAGGGCAATCATATGATGGAGCTCAGAATATGAGAGGTGAAACAAATGGCTTACAAAATTTAGTTAAAAATAAATGTCCAACTGCTACATTTATTTGGTGTTCTGCGCATCGCCTTAACTTGGTCGTAGGTAAAGCAGTAAGTTGTAACAATGATGCCATTGATTTATTTGGAAACCTCGAATTAGTTTACAATTTTATTACTGGCAGCAAAAAGAGAGTTGCAGTTTACGAAGATTTTCAAAGTAAATATTCAAATACCGGACAAAAACGAAGACTGAAACGTGTATCAACCACAAGATGGATGTCACAAGATTATGCTTTGCAAGCTGTTTTGGATACTTTTGAATCCGTAATTTATACACTTGAACAAACTAGAGACACTGAAGGTAGAAATGATCACAGTGTTGGTCATTTGGCTGGTTGTTTGTTAAATTATTTGCTCTCCAAAAGATTTATTATGACAGCAATAAGTTTTAAAACAGTATTTGATGTCTTATCACCATTGAATACCATATTACAATCTTCAGATTTAGATCTTTTTGCAGCCATACATAGTATTTCTAATGCGCAATCAAAAATTAATAATCTCCGACAAAAAGATGGAGTATTTGAAAGCTTAATGACCAAGGTTGATGACTTCATTTCTGACAAAGAAGAATTCATTTTTTCAGATATACAAGATAAACGTATTCGTAGAAAAAAGAAAATGCCAGGTGAACAATCAAATGATTGCCCTATAGTTTGCCCTGTTCAAAAATTTAAAATTGAAACCTTTATTAAGTGTCTGGATGTTTTAACAAATAATATAAGAGAATATTTTAACACAGAGATGATTGGAATCTATAAAGATATGTCATTGCTTACAAAAAAAAGGATAAATGAAATTAAAGCAAATCCAGATTCTTTACCTGAAGATAGCTTCCTATTTTTTTGTAATATTTATTCCAATTTTTTAAATCAAGATAATTTAAAAAATGAGTATATACAGTTTTGCAATATTTATAGTTCATTTGAAGAAACTATACAATTACCTATTTATCTTCATACTAAAACTAATGAAAGTTTAGTATCAGAATGTGAAGAAGAAGAAAATAGCGAAGAAGAAGATCTTATTGATAATGAAGAAGAAGAAGAAGAAGAAGAAGAAAAAGTAGAAGAAATACAAAACAACAGGAAAGAAGAATTGCTTCCGTTTCAAAAAAAAACCATAAATGTTGATAGTATAAAGACTGTATATAAAATATTTCAAGTTAATCACCTAGCTACTATATTTCCTTTGATAGATACAGCTTTAAAAATTATTTTGACCTTACCAGTTGCAAGCGCATCAACGGAACGCAGTTTTTCCAAACTTAAAATAATAAAAAATAGACTTCGGACCACAATGTCTCAAGATAGGTTAGAAGATTTGATGATCATAAGTTGTGAGAAAGATATTTCTAAAAGTATTGACCATGAAGAAATACTGAAAATATTTTCTGAAAAAAGTACAATTTTAAGGAAACATTTAATTTAATTACCTAAATATTTGTTGTATTACATATTTTAAAAATTAATAAGTTATGATTAATAAATAATTATGTTATACATAATTTTTTATTCTTGGTTATAAATAAATAAAGATTTTATAAAAGTAGTAATATAGAAAGTATATTATATTATTGACTGCACTAATATATTTCCTATAGGTAATTCTTCCTAGTTCCTTAATTACCTATTTACTATTTTCAATTTTAAACTAAACTGTGATTAACCTAAGCTTTTGAAATTATGAGACTATAATATTATTATATTATCATCATCATTATTTTTTACATAATATGTACAATATATAGTTTTTGATTTAGTTGTTCTTGTCTTAAACTTTAAAGTAATAGGTTATAAGCATAATGAATTTTGTAACTAATTTATAAAATAGTGTTGTATATATTTTTTTTTAAATTATCACACAGTTTAAATAACAACCAAAATTCGGAAAAATATGTGAACGAGTACCCACTGATTGAATATTGGTTATTTGTATTTTCTAATAAATATTGGAAGGTGGGTGGGTCCTCAGAAATATTTTCAGCAACGCATATTTTTTTGAGGATAGCCGCCACTGAATACACCGTCAAGATTTTCGCCCTATCAAAAATCCATACCATACCAAAGATCTACACCCAGCCCTGATAACTCATGCTCAATTGTTCTGAGTGACATCCTCAATGAAACATCTAGAGGAAAGGGTCTTGTCGAGTTATACAACAAGTTTTCAAATTTCCACGAAGATCAAAGATCTATTCTCATATCTTTGATTGCACAATATTATGAAGAGAAGGGTGTCAAGATGTCTCTAGCTGCCAGTTATCAGTTAGAACAACAAATTCTGGAAAGGTTTCCATCCGAAAAATTGGTAATATGCTATCATTAATATTAATATTATTTTAATTTTAATTAATAAATGTCCAAACAGTAAAATACTGGAATTTTACAGGAATATTACAGAACGTCAAAGAGAGGAAAACTTTATAACAAGTTTTATAATCTGACAACATCGTTCAAAGTGGTATCTGGACCACTCGGACTCTCCACTGAAAAGAAATCATCTGTTAATTCAGAAAAGTTTAGCAGACATTTAAAACATTTTGGTATAATATTTTTTTTTAATTTTTATTATTACTTACTGTATAAATAATTTTTTTTCAGAGCCAGAAAATGATGCAGAAAGCTGCCTTAAAGCGTTGAAATTTGACAATTTGAGCTCGATTGAATTTGATTACACGTGGAAGGCATGTAGTCAGTTTCGTCTAGAATATATTAAAAATAATACCACAAAAGACTTAATGGAAAAATGGCCATTTTATAAACAACCTAGTGGTTATCGCCTGGTATGTTTTATTTTTAACACATACGTTTTTGTATTTAAATAATATTTATAATTTTGTAGATCGACATGGACTTTGAGACAGCGTTTAGTCAAGGTGATACTCTTCTTGAGAAATGGGAACGGTCTTTCAATTCCATCATATCTTTTCTATCAAAAGAAAACCGAATTAAAGATAGGAATGTAAAAAAACTTATTGACTCATTAAAGACTGATATTGGAATATCGGAGAGTAAGTTAAAATCATATTTTTAAGTAATTTTTGCAATTATTATAATATGTTTTATGAATGTTTTAGATGGACGCGATGCTGCTTTGATTTGGGCATTGCATGGGTATTTTGTTCCAACCAATAAAATAATTCGAATCGATCCAAAAACAAATAAGAAGGTAACAACAAAATTCACCATAAAAGATTCACAAGAATCTGTAATTTTTGTCGGGGAAACACAACAAGCAATAGAAGATCACATCGAACATATTCGAAAAACCAAAATTTCAGTTCAGCCTTCACTCTACTGCGTTGGGGAAGATATATTTACTGTTAAAGATATATTCCTTCACATTGAGGGAGTGCGTTATAATTTTAAAAGCGCTTTAAAAGCATTAGATACTTGTCTTGTTTTAAATCAATGTATCTTTTTGACATGCAATTTCCAGAAGAATCAAATATGTTTTACACATTTCTTGAATGTTTTTTTTATAACTTTAAAGGCACCAGAAGTTATTCTAAAGTTCATATTCTATTAGAATACTTGCAAAAAAAATCTTTTTAATGTACCTATTTTCTATTTTTAAAATTTTAATATTAACTAAATTTCAGTATAGTTTTATAACAATTAAAAAAGATACTGGAAGAGTGCAATTTTTTATGTATAAATAATTTTATTATTATATTACTATAGGTATTTTGTTACATTATTATTTTATGCTTATTATTAATATTATAATTATAAAACTAGGTATATTAAACAGTATAAATCTGTTTAATTTTATTTCATCACAATGATTTACTATCTTTTTAATGTACCTATTTTCTATTTTAAAAATTGTATTATTAACTACCTACATTTCTATATAGTTGTATAACAATTTAAAAAGATACTGAAGAGTGCAATTTTTTTATGTATAAATAATTTTATTACTATATTACAATAGGTATTTTGTTACATTATTATTTTATGCTTATTATTAATATTATATAATTATAAAACTATATTAAACAATATAAATCTGTTTAATTTTATTTCATCACAATTATTTACAAACCTTCTTCTTTTTGGTTAGCTTTTTTTAACACTTATAGGTAACCTTATATATATATATATATATATATTATATAGGGTAAATTAATAATTTGTTTAATAAATTATTACATATTATATTTCTATAATATAATTCTTAATTAATTATTAACTAATTATTTAGTTCAACGATAGTAATTTTTAACAGTAACTAAATTTACTGTAAAGCAAAATTAATCAGGTATATTATAAAAATATATTTATTAAATTAATTTATGCAATAATATGATTTTTTATAAATAAATATTGCATCCATTAAATTAATAATTTAAATTAATTTATACAATTATATAGTTTTTTATAAATAAATATTGCATTCATTAATTCAACAACACCTATCAATTGAATCAACTACAACTATTTATTGATAGAATTATCTGTAACATTGAATCAAGAATTCATACATATCAAATAAATAACCAGGCTTTACCAGTATGATAAAATGTATTGCTAATAAAATTAACTTCGAACGTTATATTAATAATTAGAATTATAATATTAATAAACATAAATTATAAATAAAATAAAACCCTTTTTATTCATTAAACGTTCCGATACATCAAATATGTTGTTTATAAACATTAGATGATTATATCAATTACCGTTTTCATCGGAGATATTTTGATGTCTAAATTTATTAATCCAATGTACTTTTTTTTTAATAATACGTCCTTTTTTCGTTCAGTGTATGTAATATTAAGTATTTAATTTATTAAACAATAACAAAATAACAATAACTATTAACTACAATAAATTTTCAAAATGCCCACCATCGTTTTCTAAACATTTTTCATATCTCTGTATGATTGAATCCATGACAGATTTCAACATTGTTGTTGTTACTGTACGGCATGCTGTAGTAATACGTTCTTTTAAGTCTATCAAGGATGTCGATTGTTGCTCGAACACCTTGTCTTTTAAATAACCCCACAAGAAACAGTCCAACCGAGTCAGGTCAGGAGATCGTGGAGGCCATTTGATTGGACCATTTGTACCAAGCCATTGTGACAGATACTGCTGGTTCAAATGATCCTTAACGACATTAGCGTTGTGAGGTGAAGCACCATCCTGCTGAAACCACATATTTTCACAAACTACATCAGGTACATCAGCCATCAAATTAGGCAAAATATTGACCAGAAAATCCAGGTACCGAAGGCCAGTTAATGTACCGTCGTAAAAATATGGTCCGATTAACTGATTATTAAAAATCAAACACCAAACATTGATTGACCATCTAATTTGTGCATTTGTTTCACGCGTCCAATGTGGATTATTTTTACTCCAATAGTGTAAATTGTGACGGTTTACAATGCCATTATTGTTGAAACAACTTTCATCAGTCCAAAAAATTTTTTGAAAAAATGTTTTTATCGTCTTCATGCAACACTGACATTATTGATATAAAATCCAATCTTCTATTTGGGTCTGTAGGTTTTAACCCCTGCACATAATGGATTTTATAAGGGTGGTAAGAATTTAGATGTAAGATACGGTAGACCGAAGAACAACTAATATCTGTTTGACTAGCTATCATTCTTATTGATGCATGTGGTTGAAGTTCAAACGCAGCTAAAACACTAACTTGGTGATTTTCATCCAACGCAGAACAAGATTTTCCTTTTTTTACACCGGTCGGAAAAGTACCTAAATGATAAGTAGTAATATTGTTAATTATTTTATAATTATTTTTAATGTTAATTTTTATGATATTTTTACGAGATATTGTATACTGTGTTAATGTGTAAATTAAATTAATGTTTTAATTATAATACTGTTTTAATACTACTCTTAGGCAAGGATTTTTTTATATTTTATTAGATATATTTTGTTGTTTATTTTCTGAAGTCACGTTTTTATGTCATTATAACTTTTCTTTAAATCTTAAAATAAATAAAACTAAAATTTATAAAAAATAATAATGTATATGTGTTATTATTTATATATAATTATTTTAAAGAATATTAACTTTAAAACAATTTTTGATTTTGTTTTGTTATTTTTGTATTAACTAATATGATAGCGTACGTTGGTAGGTAATAAATTTAAAATGAAATTTAGGTTGGTTAGTAAATTAAATCTAATTGAAAGCTTTTTATAATTCTTAGTACAATTTCCTACTAAGCATGATTAAATTTGTGGTAGGGAGACACTATTCCCAAACTGTTTTTCACATTTTTTTTTCCCCAAAAGTTCTTTTTCTCAATACCATTTTTCCCAAAAGTTCTTTTTCACAATACCATTTTTCCCAAAAGTTATTTTTCACAATATCAAATCTATCATAATACGATCTTACCAAATATAAGAAATTATTTATTGTTAATTTTAAAATGTATAAGCATGTATTATAAAAAAAGTAGTTAAAATTATTTAATTATTAATTATTATACAAATAATTAACTAATTTTTAATTTTTAAATGTACAAGTATAGTAAAAAAATAGTATAAATAAATAAAACTGTATTAAAATTTTAAATTATGACCAATGGCCGTGAGATATGCAATAATATCATTGTTATTAACAAATTCGTCATACTTTGAAACAATAATATGTATTCGTTCCTCTACTTTTAGTCGTACCATATTACGACCATTCCTTATTTTTTGTCCCAGATTTAGTTGTCTTAACATGCACTCAGTGTCGGTTTTTTTTTGGGAAATATTAAATTTGTAAAAATATATATTGGGATAATATATTTTTGGTAAATATTGAAATTGGAGAAATTAGATTGGGAATATTAGATTTAGAAATGTTTAAGTTGGGAAAAATGTATTGGAAAAAATTGATAGGGAAAAACGGATTGGGAAAACTGTACTACAACCAAAAAAAAAAATAATCAAAAAAACACTGCAAAGCTTATAACAATTAGTATGTAAGCTTACTACCACAGAAAGCTGCCAATTGTCAGATAGACCTATCATACAGCTGAATAGTACACTTAGTACATTATACTTTAAAAATAGCACATCATAGTAAAAACCAAATAGTTATTTATCTTATTAGATAGATATTATATTATCTTGATAGATTATATTCACATAACTGTCATCAGTTCTACATATATTCAGGGTTTATATTAACACGTTGGTTGAACAATTTTACTTACTTCTCCAGTATTTAATTTTGTATGCATACATTATATTCAAAAATGATGTACTAGAAGACGTTGGTACATTGTACACAGAGTACAAAAAAAATAATCGGGCGAAAAGATTACGGAATTGGAATTTTTCAAATTTGCATTCCAAGAATCAATTGCAGAAATGGATGTTTTAAGACAGGTACTATATTCAATAATCAAAATTTTATTTTTTGATCATACATTATTATTTGTAATAAATAATTTCATTTTTAAATTTAAATTTATGTTAAAATGCAATACAACATTATGTATACATTACATACCTATACAAAATAATACAATAAAAAATAACTTATACTAATAATACTATGGTACAATTATTTTAATTTTTCATTATAATATAAAACTAACTATGGGTAAATATTATATACAGCAATATAAATCAGTTCTTTATGAACTAAATAACAAAAAGACTGAGCTGAAAGATAGTGCGGATGATAATGAGGCATTGAAAAATGAAAATAAATTATTAACCAACGAAATTGTAAGTAATACTTACTAAATCCTTTATTTAATCTTGTATTGTACAAATTAAAAATGCCTATTATAATAAAATATTTGTAGGACACATTAAAAGTAAAACTTGATTTGTCAAATGGAAAAATTGTAAGTATTTAAAATTTACAAAAACTTAAATATTATAGTATAATAATTATAATAAATTTAAAGCCATTAATATAATAAAACAATAAAGGTGCTTTAAAGTTTAAATATGTTGTACAGAAAAACTTGAATGGGAAAATCAAGATTATAAGGATAAGTTGGTAGGTTTTAATTTCTGAATAACTCTAGTATTATAAACTATGCTTTTCATAATTTTTGTATAGGCAACATTTGAAAAAAAATTAGTTGGATTAGAGATGGAAAAAGGTTTTATTACTGTTAAAAATATGAATGATCCAAATGAATCGGTAATTAATTTAAATTTTTAATATTTTAGAAATATGCAACTTCTGAAAGGAGTTATGTAGAAAAACACGAGTTGATGCCCATACAATCTAAAATAGATTTTTTTAGAGAAATTAGTGTGCGCAAAACTGGGTAAAATGAATTTAGAAGAAAAAACAGAGAGTAATGATACAAGTTTGATCTCAGTAAAGGAGGTACTTAATACCTTAAAACTTTAGTTAAATAATGCATTTTTACAAACATGTTATTAATAATTGAACACAGTAAAAGAATATATAACCTAAAAAAAATATTGTTATATAAATGATAGGATTGTAAAGAATGGTGGTGTCCAAAACACTCTTCATTTATGGAGATCTTGCTATCCCTAAATATAAAGGAACAATCGTTGGAAGATCAGTATCTTATTAGAAAGGCAAAGTCTAGATTTGTTTATTGGCAAGGCCATGATAAGGTATACAAAAAATTAATTGATTTTAATAAATTATTTTTATTATAAAATATGTATTACATTTTGAATTATAGAACAATCCACGGTGTCCTATGAATGACCGGGAAAAAGGAGGAGCAATATCTTACCAAACTCCAAAATGTTGGCCACAAAATTGATAATCAACTTTATTAATTATTATAATAAATAAATATTCTAAAAAGTCTTTTATTTAATTTAGGTTGTGTACTGATTAATAAACAAATCTGATATCTAAGGTGGGTACTAAGTAATTTATAATTTAAATAGTGTTATTTTGAGGTATTCTTTTTTAGTTTAATTTATACATATAGTTCTGTATTTTTTGCAAGTATTTGATTATATTTATTCAAAAAACTAAACAAATATTAGAATTTACTTAACGGATTGCATAAGTAGAGTATTAGTGTAAATTGAAAATTCACTTAGAAATCAAATAAATAATGCCATAACTCACAAAATATAAAGTACATAATATATTATTTAAACTAAAATAGAATATACAAATAACAGCGATGAATGAGGTATTCTTTTTAAGTATAGAAGATAGAATGTAAAAATATTTATAAGTAATAAATTATTATATAATATGCTTTAATAGGCATTTTAAAATAATTAATTAATTTTAAATTTGAATATTATGTGAAATATTTAGTAACATAAAAGATAGGTACTTTATTCACAAGTATTATTAATAATAGGACAAACTAAAACCTACAATCTAGATAAATAATAAAAATACCTAGCTAATTTTTTTTTTTATAAAATATTAATTTGTAATAAACTAAATTTATTACCAACATTCATCCCTTCAACTATTTTGATTAGAATTACTTAATCAATACAGCACAAGGTACATTTACATAATATAATTAATTTAAAAAAAAAAAGCCATAAAATTAACTAAAACTATAACTATAAATTAATTTTACAAAATTTTCAGCACATACAAATATTTTCAATGATGACGACGACATATTGATTTTTGAATTTGAATTTGAATAATTACATCATAGTTATTTCAAATATTAAAATTGATATACTGAAAAATAATTAAAACCTATTATTATTAAATATTAAAATGTGTTTAATTAACTTACATTTTAGAATGTTAATTGTAGGTATTATTAGTATTTAGTGCAATATCAACTAATTTGCATTAAAATAAGCACATTGTGAAAATAGAATACGTAAATGTTTAAACATTAAATATTTATACATGTGATGATTGGAACACATTGGTTAATTCAATGAAAATTTATCAATTAGTATCAATCATATTCTGTATTCTGACCAAAGTTCTGAAATGGTATTAAAACTTAATAATATTAAGTATTAGGTTACAAGTTGGATGGTTCAACTTACAGTTAACAACATGAAATTTTACTATTATTCTCTGATAATCCAGTTCACAAGTACAAGATAGTTGATGAAAATCATATTATTCACTGACAAACCATAACTATCATTACTGGAATGGACCAAATCAATAGCCCTCTATCTATGTACTATTGGACAATAGTTTATGAAACTACCTCGGAAACTACCTTAAAACCTACCTTTGACATTAAAATACAATTTAATTTTTATTAATATGTAAAAAAAATAGTATACCTTTATTATAGCACTTTATCATCTAGGTAGATGCTATTCTTTAAAATTTTCATGAGATATTTTTGAAAAACATCTTTTTAAGTTTAGGCCACTTGTGTATTATACAACATTGTCAAGGTTCAACATTACTGTATAAACACTCATTAAATTGCTTGGCATACAATGCATTAAAAATGGTTTCATGTTTTTTTGAATTGTCTGTAAGGTTTTTTTTTAAGAATACTTGAGTAGGTAATATAATTTACTTGCTGGATGAATTACTGTCATGAATCTTGATTGACATGATTACAGTAACATTGAAGTCCAGTTATTAATTATTATAGATATAAACTATAAAGTACTTTATATCTAAGAGTCCAGCACATATGGTGGTGGTAACTGGTGGGTAGTCACTGGTCATTAATTTTTGAATAATATTCAATGATCATGTTGTATACTTATAATTGACATTTATATTACATTATTACGCATAACTTTTACTAAACACTTAACACCAAACATTTTTTAACAAACATCGAAAAATGAATCACTTGTTCACATACATTATGTACTTATGTATGTTATTACTTATTGTATAATCAAGATTTTCAAGAAAAAATTTGGAGTGTATCGGTACGTATCGGGTCAATTTTGGGCGTTCAAGATGTTACACGTGCAATGTACAAGCGATACGTACCGACCCGTATCGGACTCGGACTCCGATACGAGGTGGTACGTAACTATTCCGTATCGATACGTATCGAATTTTTCTTCTTGAAAATCTTGAATGTGTATTGTAAATTGTAATACTGTATTGGGCTTAGTATCATATTTGTTGATTATTCGTGATAACAAATTTCGTTATTTCTTGGAAAAAAATAATTCAAAATCGATAATATTGCTGTAACACTGATTAACAGCCAACAGGAAATACATTTGAATTTAAACAAGTTCTAATAATTGTTTAAAAATTATTGACTGGACCTTAGTGAAAGTTTTTGACACCGAAATTTTTCTAAAAATCGGATTTACAAAATGGCTATCCTGATTTTTTTTTTTTAAAGTCAAATAGAAATTTATTTAATTTATAATTTTACATAAAAAATGTTTAAAAAAATCAAAAATTATTTTAAATGTAGCGCAGACGACAATTGACAATTAAAAAAAAAAAGAAGTTGAAAATACTCAGTAGAACAAAAGTAATTGCAATTGTCAGTTCATCGTGAAACACCCTGTATACACAACACGCAAACAATAGCAGCTCCCACTCTCGCTCTACTCTTTATGCTCGTCGGATCCAGCCGCAGCAATCATACGATGCACTGTGTCGGCGCAGTGCATCATCACAACCAACAAGGCACACCACGTCCACGAAGCTCGTCTCAAGAAAACGTGAATTTCGTTTTGATTTAATTTTTCTTTTCTGATGAAGTTAATTAAATTATTGCGTTTATTCTAACACCAGGTATGAATTCATATTAGTTTATTCTCCCCATTGTTTCGCCACTAAAATCTGTTGTTTAAATTTATTGCACTGCCTTAGAGATCTTTAATTAAAATCATCCTATGATTTTCCTATATTAAAATAGGGATTCAAATAAAAATATTCCTAATAACTCGATCCATTTAGTCACTATTCTATAAGTATAGCCACCCGACCAATACTAGGCGCCGCTTGACAGTTCATTGTTCATAACGAACTTTGGGCTATCAAAGTGTATTTGCAGTTCTACGTTTTTCGATCATAGGAGTCTGGAACAGGTGGAAGGTAATTTCACAACCGATTCCTTGTCTCTTAAGAAAAACCGAACCTCAAATATATAGGCGAAATCGAGGTCCAAATTCAAAACGCAACGTCCACCACAGTAAACGAATGAATAACTATAAAGGTGTTTTAACACTAACATAAGCACAGAGTGCAAATAATAAAAAAAAAATAATCATAGTGACTAATTCTATTCCTTAATTCCAATCCATCCACTGCATTAAAGTTTTCTAAGTGTCATTAAAGTAAGAAAAGAAAACAGCTATATTCCACCACAAGGGCTAAGAGTAAACGCACTGTATTTAGAGAAAAGAACGTAGTATCGTAAAAGTCATAAAGTAATAGTAACGAGCATCGATCCACACCTACCAGAGACGTTACCACCACCACAACAAGGATCTACATCAATACAAGGTAAGTGGATTTAATATTTCAAGTTATAAGATCGGTTAATAAACTAAAATTTAATCTAATAATAATATCAAGTAGTAGTGTAATTATTATCTGAATTGGAATTTATGGGCTATTGAGCCGGGTACGCACCTACTCTCTCACTACTCACTCCCCACTTAGCCCCCGTTCACTTTTCTTTAAAATTTAGTTCATTTTTATTCTACTACAATAGAATACACCAAGGTATTCGATTATTGAAATACACTATAACCCAGATTTAAGATAGTACTATCTTATCGTGAGTATACTACAAGATTGAAGATGATAATAATAAACATAATATACTATTATACTCATTAGTTATTACTTTTCAAGTTTTTCTTCGGCCTTTGTGTTTGCTAATTTTTTGAATTTTCTCATTAGAGAAATCGATAATGGCATAGGTAGTTTTATTTGATATTTTTTCTATTTTCAATACTTGTAATGGAAGCAAAAAAGAAGTCAAAAAGTGTAACTTATGAGCAAAAACAATTGTTGATTGATTTTGTTCATAAGCATCCAAAGTTAAACTCTAAAAAGTTTGGACCTTCTTTTACTATGAAGGATTCACAGTTGTTGTGGCAAAACATGACAAGTACGCTGAACCAAACAATTGGACCGAAAAAAAATTGGATTGAATGGAGAAAGGTAATAATAAAATCAATAATTGTATATTAACTCCCAGTTATTTACAAAAAAGTAAAAAAATATTATTTTATGTTGAGTGTTTTCAATATTTAAATTCGGCTGCAAAACAAAAAGTTCCTTCCAAATTTCATTACAACAAGACTGGTGGAGGTGAAAAACAGGACGAAGACTGCATTGACCAAGCTGACGAACAACTGTTAGATATTTTAGGGCATACTGCTATTCACAGTCACGAAACTGTCACTGAACGTACTTGTAGAGTTTCATTTTTAAGTGATAACGATATAGTTACAAATATATCAGATATAGAGGAGATGATTCCACTGAATATGCCTACAGAAGAAGAAGAAGATGATAGTAATTTAGGTTTCATTATTGTTTCTGTAGATTCAAATAACATTGATGAGCCAGATGGTACTGAAAAAGCAATGTAAATATTTATATTTATTATTATTTGTACGTAGATTACTGTTGTTTTAACCCTTCAGCGCCTCACATAACCATGGGGTTTCGTCAATTGCGCCGAATTTGGGACACTACCTGTGAAGTATACATCTATTGCGCCGGTATAAAAAAGGTATACATCTATTGGGCTGGTATGAAAAACGTTATTTATTTATTTATTTATAATATATAAACGCCAAACGGCAATTTTTAATTAACAGATTAAGTTTAAATTAATAGATATAACAAAAATATAATAAT